CGGGACAGATCTTATGTTTAGAGTCCACCTTTAAAGCTACGGTGTCTCGTACAAGTGCTCATATTTACACATTTCTTCAGACAAAAGCTCTTCAATCTGATCCGTTCTCTCGTCGACGTTCTTCCTTTCAATAACGGCCGTATTGTGCTGTGAAAACGGAGACGTGAGACTCCGTAAAGGACGTAGTCAGCAGACCAATCACAGCCTGGTGCGGCGTCGCAAGTCTAGAAAAATGGGTCGACGCACGCAAGGAGGGGTCAAAAGACACACGAGGGACACGCGAGGGGGTCCTGTGCGTCCCCTGTGCGTTCCTTGCGTGTCCCTAACTACAGTAGCTAAGACTTAAAGGATTTAAAATCACTTGAATACCTGAGATGTGGGTGCGACACCTGCAGAGGAGATATTATAGTTTGGGGACATTGGAAGACAAAGTGACAGATTTTCCTGAATTTAGTTTTTCTAACCAGAGGAATACAATCATCATTAATAAACCTCGGAGGATTTTCCGGATTGGTGGTTGTTGTTGTTGTTGTTGTTGTTGACTACCATCAACTCGATGGAAGCTTCTTCGGCTGCGAGAGCGTCTTGTCCCAGCTCCCTCGGCCCCGTCACCACGGTTACCGGTTCATCGTTGTTTGGCCTGTCTGTGAGAACATGGAAACAGCTTTGAGACGTTGATTCGTAGAACTTCAGAAGGTTCATGGTGAAGAATGTAGATGTAGATATTGGACTTCAGCAGCCTGGAGGCTTTTTGTTGATAAACGGTTTCATTATTTATATGTTTGCGTTGGAGAAAAACTGTAGTACAGGAATTAATTCATGGAACATTTCCACAAAATAGTCTGAAATGTGTCTGATACATAAATAAGTAATATGTTCTTTAAGAGCAAATTAATGACCTTATTTCACTTCCTGTTTAATAGATTTATGTTTGTTGCCATTTACTTAATAAAAGAGTTATTGATGAGTAAGTGCTGTAACGCAGTATTCTATACTTTTAAAGCGGTACGCTGGAGAAGGTTCTGTGACGTCTGCTCAGGTTTGGATCTCAACAAGATCCTCCGTGTTTATCGCTTTATAACGTACATTAATAACTTATTTACATCGGAGCACAAGATGTGAGTCTGTGTGCAGTTTGTACATTTCACCACCGACAACACAATGCTGAGAGAAGTCTGTAACTCACCTACTACTTTATATTTTCCTCAAAGAACACAGCAACAACAACAACAACGAGGACACCGAGGACAGAGCAACAATGATCCAGACAGCCGCCGTCTTCTTCTCAGC